GGGGCAGGCAGATGTGTATAACCTCCTCCTATCTGCAGAGCTGGGCAAAGCTGAACTTGCTCTGGACCAGAAAATGCACAAATATACATTTGTATAACTAGCACACAATGCTGGAGTTTTTTAACTTCATGAATCTGGAATCAATGCTTTTTCTGGGCCGCAGGCAGAGTAACTTACATCTGCCCATACTTGCCTACAGAGACAGATCAAGTGTGCCTAATAAAAGGGTCAACTTTATTCTCTTTCAGATCAGTCATAGTAATAAGATGTAAGCAAAGGAATTCCAGGCATCAGTACTACAGCATCTGGGTTTTCTTTAAAAAAAAAAATGTCCTTCTTATGTTAACCATCATCCATGACTGATCAAATTATGGGCCAGTCCTACCAAGCAGGACGTCAGTGTGTATGGCTCCTCAGCTAGCCTAGTCCCAACTCAGTCCCAGAATCTGTGTACACAACTAGAGTACAAAAACCGAGTCTGCTGGCAGCAAACAAAAGGATTTAAACCGACTCCCTTGCCCATGCTGCTTTGCAGGGCTAACACCAGCAAAGAGCAGGGACTTAACCACTTTCTGTTGCTAAGTCACCAATATGGCAACAGATACACCAAGGGAGAAAGTGTGCTGAGCAAAACTGCAGGTTTTGTACAGTCCTTTTGCAGCCAGACCTGTGCTTTATGATATTTTTCTTCATTTTTGTTACCTGTTTGTTTAAGGGATCTCTTATGGTGCAGGCTGTGAGGGAAGACTGAAGAAAACAGTCAGAAGAGATTAGAATGTTTGAGAAAACAATTAGAAGGTAATGTAAGGGGAGTGAGGGAAGGAGAGAGATGGAAGAGAAAAGAGTAAAAGATGAGAACTGTGGTGGGTAGAAGATTGAAACTGATGCAAGGAATACATTACTGGGAAAGCTGCTGGACAGACCACAAAACCCAAGGCAATATAAAACTAGAATTTGAGTTAGACTTTAGGATGAAATGGAAAGCCAGGAGTCTTGTATTAACAGCTGTGCTGCTGTGCTTGTCTCTGAAGGTTCTCTTCTTGAACTCAGCAACAGGCATATCCTGAGATATTTAGTTCTGGCTTCTGACCTCAAAATTGATTTACCACAATATCTTCCCCACCTGACTGGAGATAAAGAGATGATCTTATAAACAAGACACATCATCACCGTTGCATGCATGAATTTCTCTCCAGCTATTACTCTCAGCTCTTTGCATATTTTTGTGTCACTTTTTGACCTGAGAACAAAGGGCTTTCAGTATATATATTTCTGCATTTTCACTATGTTTTGGAAAATTATCATTGCTGCTATTTACTTGAGCTATGGTTTTACACTCCTCACAGGGGATCCAAATTATGTACCTTATTCCCATAACAAGTAAATGGTCCCTCTTGCCTTACTCACTCCTCAAATCCAGATACCCTCGAGAATGGTGCTATTTAAATAGATATATAAATCAGAAAGATATTTCTTTTCTCCATACTCTGATAGGAAGGAATCTGGGGAGTGTGCATTCCTCAGTAGTTTCTCTTTGTTTTTATAATTAAGTATCTTTTCTACCACTCCGGCAAGAGAAGATGAGAGATATCTGGTGCCAATGAACTCTTGTACTTCCTTAGAACGCTGCAGTGCTATTGTTTTTAATATTTAAAGCTGCAATGTTGCCATGTAACGGGGGAAATAGCTTTTTGTGTTTAAATATTTCATGGCTTGTTGGAGTCTGAGTACAAGAAGAATTTCTTCAGTATGTTAGGGGCCTACCCTGACTTGAAAAGTTTTTTGTTAACCCTTGAATGTGTTAAAATTGGTCTGTATTGCAGGATTTGATTCATTCAGGACTGGAAAGTAACATTTTTTTTTCACTTTTGTATAAGCTATGTTAATCTTTTTAATATGCTTTTCTGTGTTGGAGAAAACCTTTCATTTGATATTGGAACTCTAGGTTAGTATTTCATAATGATGGCTTCTAAAAATATGTGCTTCCTTATAAGCCATTTCCTCACTGCAGACTTCCAAAACTAGTCAGTATCAGAAATAAAAGCTACGTTTGTGGGTATTGGCTGCTTACTGCTACATCAGAGTTGCACATATAACTCTAAAGGGTACTAGCAGCCTTGGAGAAGACCTACACTCCATTTACCTTCTGTGAGGTATTTTCAGGGTGCTTTTAGCTCCAGACACAAAACTGAATAGACTTTTTAATTTCCATTCCTTTTTTTGGTGCTTGAATATACACTTCGTTCACTTTCTGGAACAGGGTTGTGATTGTGATTCCATAAGCAAAATTAACTCTGTAAACCCATTGCCTTGCCTTCAGAATAACAGACATGCGACAATTTCTTCTTCTCTTATAACCTGGAACTGTGTGTTTGTACATTGATAGTTCTGATGGTGAGATCAGAATAAGACAGAGGTTGGAAAAATCCATTTCTGGTATCAGTGATGAAATAAACTGATTTGAGTTAATCCCTGAATTACTGCAGCTTTCTGCTTGTCCTCCTGGCCTCTCAATGATTTTTATTCCATATACAATAAATACTGACCTCATCTGGGAGATGAATATTGCCATCTGCTTTACACAGAGATCCTGAATGGTAGGTTTATTGTGAAATTGAGGAAGAGAGTGGTATAGAGTAACACCTTGGGAACATTTGGGAATGGTGACAGTGCAGCAGGGGGCACATAAATATTTAGGTGTAGCAAACAAAAAATGTTCAAAAGCTTGGAAAATTATCAAACTGTCCTCATGAGCTTCTCCAAGTTACAGAAATATTTGCTTAGAATGCTAACACTAATGGATATTTTAGGGGAAACCATAATTAACATGTTCAGAGATGGAAAAAAATGTATGGAGGATAATCACTCTGCCGACAAACACATTTGTTTACTCTTTACATTAAAAGTTAATGATGTGTGTTGGCAAGCAAAATGAAGTACAGATGATGGTTTGAAAGCACCCATGCCAGATGTTCGCTCAACATTTGGCCTAGTTGTATTTCCATGCTCCGTTGTTCACATATCACTCCCAAATGTTGTCTGCAAGGTTGGCCTCAGGGCTACTGTTGCAGGACATATGCTTCTCTGGTGCTCATGTCCTGCCTCGCTCTGCTGCTGGCAGAGAAGCACCCACCTTCCACTGGTTGCCCATTTCAAGCTGGAGCTTTGGCTGTCTCAGCCCACAGTTTTAGGTAGACCTCAAAATTTGCAAGTAAAAAATAGATTCTGTACTTGCTTACCCAACCCAAGTCATGAAGAGCATCATGGAGGGGATGTGGATGTGACAAGACTTTTGAATTTAATGTTAGCACGTCCCTGGCATTGTGACTTGCAGCCCTGAACCGATTATGTTCGCTGTCTCAGTGGCCTGGGGACAGGCATTTCACAATGCAATTAATGCAAGACAGTATAACAAGGAGACATCCATGGTGCAAAAACTAGAGAGGAAAAACCTGTGTACTTTCAGCTTTACAATTTTCAATTTCTAGGCATATAATTTATTCTTTCCTTAAACATGCTCATAACTGCTTCCAGTTCACAGCCACAGATTTAGCACACTGACCTAGAATGTGGGAAGTCATGTTCAACTTGCTTTTCTGCCCTAGGGGATGTGAATCAAGATCTGGACAAGTGACTTGGCCACCATGTTAGTCTGAGATAAATGTACTGAAAACTGCTCTTGCTGCTCCACTGTGCATGGAAAAATTAAAAATTATTTGATCTAGAAAGGAAGTGACTCTCACAATGATTCTATATTCCCATGCTTACAATGGAGAGCAAAATCTGGAGTCAGCCATGTTCCAACAAATATTCGTGATAGACTTAAAAAGCATTTAGATATGCACTGGAATACGGAAAAATGAAATTTCTGTCTTTTTTGTCCCAGATGAATGCCCCAGTTGATAAACTTCAAAATCAGGCTTTGCTGTCTTTATCTATTAGGTATCCCTGGGCTAGTACACCAACAATCCAGATGGATTTACAAATGGCAGTTTTGTCTGTGCAACCCACAGAGCAAAAACAGGGCCTCACGGACTAACTTGCATCACCTGGTTGGAAAAGTGGTGTCTAGCCCTGCAAACTTAAATTCTTGCAGCCCCTGCAGGATGGATGGGCCTGGTACAGAAAGTTCAACGGGATACTGGGCCTGCAAGCTTCTGTCACGGCACAGGTCCCCCTTGGTGCATGGCAGGACCAGGCAGACTCACTCACTGCCCCCGACAGAGCTTGGTGGGGTAAGACACCCAAGTGCCTGGTACCACTAGAATTGTACTGTGGGATTTGATTACCAAAAGTGAAGCTGTCAGATAAAAAGATGGGAGGTGAGAAGGTATGGAAAGTGCACAAACGAGGGGGAGCTGCTTTGGCAGAAGCTGAGATGAGTAAGTGTGAGGGATTGTGGACTTGGGGGAACGCTAAGCGACTAAATACCCAAGAAAGATGGGTTTAAGATACATTCCTTTCTTCTGCCTGCCTCCTGCCTCTTTGGGAGCTTCATGTGAGCCCAGTGGTACCACTGGCACAGGGTTGTGCACTGAGAGAAGGATTTCACTGTCAAGTGGAACAGCAGCTGCTCCTTGCTTTCAGGTTACAAAGTTCCTAATGGAAAAGGCTGTGCCTCAAATTTCAGAGGATCCCAGAAAAAGTGAGCCAGACATATACATCTGAGAGTAATATTTGGCCTGTCGTGCTTTGATCCTTCAGTGAATATTGAATTTTAACTATTAAAAATACATGAAAAGTATTCAACAGCAATCCAACATCACCTTCACCACAAAAAATAAACCTTCCTCAGTTTTGTTGCTTTCTTGAAGTTATAAATATGTCAGAATATGTGCTGAATTTCTCCCTGTAAAAGAGCTGAAATTTTGCTTTCTGCTAATAATCTTCTTCACTGTAGTGATTACAGAAATTTATATACTTTGGCAGAGGTTATCTGGAAGTCCAAGTCCAAAGGCATTAGTCATACTACAGAAATGACAAGCATTATTAGCCTTTAGTTTAATTTATTAAGTAAAATGACAGTCTACAAAACAAGGAAGTAATGGCCTGTGGTTAAAACTGGCATGGACTGACAAGTTACATACAAGCAAAAACTTTGTGAAGCAACAGTGATGGAGTAAAAAGTGACAGTGCACACAGACAATTTTCATTCCTGATCGAACTATTTTGATGATGGTACATGTCTGCACCTGCCAACATTATTTTTGATTAGTCCAGTTGCCACATGTGGAGTTCCCCCTATGGAACCCCCAAACTAGGTCACCAATGCAGGATGCCGAGAGTCCTGGGAAATTTCGGATTCATGCATCTCCTCCTCCAGTTTAACTTGTTTTGAAGGACCCAGCTGTTGTGCTCTTGCCCGTCCAAAAAAAATACATAGTAGGACTACCATGGCTGCTCCATGGGAGAAGTTAAGCTGGAAATTTGAAGAGTAGAAGATGTAGTACACAGATTCATAATTATTTAACTTTAATTATTCATAGATAATTCATTGGAGGAATAACCTTTCCTGATTTGAAATGGATTCATTTTACCAGTCTTTGAGTAGCAGAAACTGATTACACTAAAAACAAGAAAAAATAGCCCATGGTACTTTTCCAGAGGAGATTTTGTCAAAATCCGAACAATTTCACAGGAAAATTAAAATCCATTTCTGATATCTTGATAACCTAATAATAATGTTTTTAAATATTGCTTTCCAAGATGAAACAAACGTTGAAACTGGAATTGTACTGGGGACAGAAATTTCATTTTCCAAACAACCATGTTAGAAACTATAAACTAAAGGAAAATTAGATAGTCTGCTTTTATTGAGACAGTCCCCAAGTAACACAATCTGAACAGATTCAGTGGTAGAGCTGGTCTGGAATGATTTGATGAAACATTTTTGATCTGAAAGCAATAGCTAAAAGTAATCTGAATGATTTTATGGAAAGTAGTCAGCTGAGAAGAATTTGCAGTAAAATAAAGTCCAAGGTGCATCAGAAAACTGCCAGGCTTCGTACCAAATTGCCTCATGATTTGCTTGAAGGACAAACTTCAATATGTGGCTTGGCTGCTTCTTCATGAGAAATCCCTCATCCTAGGTATTCCTGGGCTTTCAGGGATTTACTCCTGCTGCAGTCCTACCATAAGGCTGCTCATGAGATATGAAGTCCCCAAAAACTGTGTTTCCTGATCAAGGCCATAGTGACTCTGCTTTGTACCAGTGAGAAGACCCAGGGCAAGGAGGAAAAGTGTGGCTGCTTCTCCTCTGAACTCTCAGTTCTGTGAGGTGATAGTTTGTCCTGAGCTAAGGATCTTTGCTGAAATACCTGCTTCATTTCTTGCTGTCTGACTCACCTCAGCTCCCAAAAGCCTCCATGAGAGAACTGGGCAGCTGCGTCTCTATTTTATTTCAGGAAAACAGAGAAGTACTCACTTTTTCCCAAAATAACACAGTTTACCGAATGACGTTTACATTAAGATTTTCTACTTTTCCTGCTATACTGGAGGCTCACTGGGTGTTTGGGATTTACAATGATATAGAAGTCCTGAGTTTAAAATAGCTTTACCTCATGGTCTCAGGGAAGAAATCAAATCCTGCGGAAGAACACCCCACCCAGAGAAGTTGCTACCTATCACAGAGTCTTCTAACCCAGGAGTTTCCATCTTTCCAGAGTCAGAAATAGAGATATTTCTTCTTCAAACTGAGAGCTATAAATATCAGCTATTGCTAGCAGCCTAAGAGAGAAGAGTGACAATAGGTCAATCTTTCCCTACATATCTATTCATGTCTATGTTAATTATCTCATAGATTTATTAAAGTCTCATGGTGTTACAAGCATAGAATCAAAGTTCATTAGAAAGATCACCAAACACTGTATGAGTTCAATCACTAAAGTGACTCAACTGTAATTCAGGAAGTCAACTTTTAAGTTTGCTTTGCTATTTTAATAGCAAACATTGCTGGAGCGTGATAACAGCAAGCTCAGGGACTGTAGGACTGGATGCAGGTGTGTCTGTGGTGTGGAACTTGCATGACCTGCAACTCTACCTTAACCAGATTAATCTTGCAATTGGTTTGAACCTGATTTTGCATTAGATTTCTTTTCTTATAATTATCGAGTAAACTAAAATGACTGTATACATGTGCAAAAATATCCATTAAAGCTGAAATAAACCAAGCAGCATTTATGGGATCAACCATAATAACATGGCACTTTTTTTTTCCTCCACTAACAACAAAATATATCTTCCCCTTCACCCCACACAAACCTCTATGGCTCCATTTGTAATTGACCATTGCTGCTGTTTGTTACCCATGGAAGTAAAATATTTGCTATAGATAACTTTGACATAACCTAGGCCTGGACAAAGTGAGGTTTCCTGATAAACACACATAGATGTGAAAAAATACACCAGCAAAGACAGTCTGTGACAAATGTTCAAGCAAAAACTCATGGATCATATTAGATTTACTTGCAATTAAATCTGAAATTTGCATGTGGGTGGTAATTTATCTGGGGAGACAAAATCTGAAACAGGTCTCTTACCACAACACCTGCAAGGAATATCTAGCCTAAAATTCAGTTTTCCATCTGGAGGGAATAAAAAGGGGTGGGAAGCAGAAGCTAGGCCTAGATAGCCCACACAGACACATTTCAGAGAGACCAAATTATATCAGCCAAAAAACCTGGAGCTGGGACTTTGTGGAGGTCCAAGCCTGCTGCTGGTTATATTTGGGAGCAGAGTAGTGTAGGTAGAAGCTGAGGTCTTTCAGCAGATGTACTGGCACACTCACCATAGCATTGCAGAATTGTGTCAAGGGAAAATTATTCATCTCTGGTTCTCTGTCTGAGTTTTCAGTAGCTGAAACTTTCTGTTTGTGAAATATTTCCTTGGTGTGCGAATTGCCCTCTTCTGCTACTCTTCTGAACTTCCATGCTTCGCCCAGTACAGTCTGAAAGACTGTATAAGAGTCCTATAAAATCAGATGTGTGGTGCCAGATAATGATTTGCCAAACCTCATTTATATGAAAACTATCTCAATATGGTTACTGCTGTGGTGATCCAAAGCAGAAAGTAATCTATTCACAAATACATGTATTCATCCACTATACTTGTCTTTGATGGGTACGTACCAGTAATTTAGCAAGTGACATGTTCTGACATTCACTTCAGAAGTTCAGCCTGTCTCAATGCCACAGCAGCACCAGTAATATAAAGTACACTGACTTTCTCTCTAGAGCAACATTATTTATGCATGACACAGAATAATGCCTAACAGGAGCAATGAAAGGAAGAAAAGTGCAACGAGTTAGTGTGTATATGATATGACCTTGTTAACATTTCACTGCAGCATAATCTTTCTGTACTTTCAAGCATGATAAGTTAATGCATGCCACTGTGAGATGCATTGGAACTGACAGATAGACATGCATTTTAAAAACTCGGTTCAGCAACTGTCACTTTACCATTAACCAAAACGTATGAGGGACTGAAGAATGATGAGGAGAAACCTTATGATAAAAATCCTTCCTTGTATTCCCCAGAATACGTGCAAATACCCTGCAGCTTCCATCTGGAAAATTTGATGAGAATAATCTAAATGAGAAATGTATATTGTGACAAACAACTGAGAGTTTAATCACAATTCTGAATGTTGGCATGAAAGGTTGATAATTTCTTCTGAATCTGAGGACTTGGTACCCATGTAGAAAACATCCAGACAGGGCTGAAGAAGGTGGTCTTGGAAAAAGTTATATAGCTCAAGCTGTGTGTATATTTAATACAGGATCTCTCTTAGGAATAAATCTGGAAAGAATGAATGGCATGTGATTAAGACACGTATTTTTGAACTCTATCACTGTACAAGCTTGCTTAGATTAGGGATTTTGAAACTGGCAAAGCATTTTCTTCACCACTTATGTGACAAAGAAACTTGACTAGAGTGGGTTAATTGTGTCAAGAGGATGTTGAATGACACAACACAAATGTCTGGTATTATTTGCTTGATCCATAATATACCGCTGTCAGTTCAGGATAAAAAACTGACAAAGACAGATTTTTCACATCAAATACTATACAGACAGAGAGCAATCCTGCTGCATACATTTGGGGTAATTCTGATGGCTGAGAATCTTTGGCAAAACCGCTTGACCTTTATGTAGTAGAAGCAAGATTTAGATTTTTTCATGTGTGGAGAAAAATACTGTCCCATGGAACAAGTAGTGCAGTCCTGACTGTGTTCTTCCCATGGAGTAGCACCTTTCACTTTCTCTTTCAACCAAAATGTACTAACTGAAAAGTAATAAATGGTTTTTGTAAAATCCAAACTAAACCTCAATTGTAAAGACAGCATTAGCCAGCGAAGACTTCTTCTGTGAAGACCACCCTGCTTGCATGTCAGTTTTAAATAGTTTGAAAATCTGTTCACTGTCTTGCTTCTATTCAACAGCAACTCCTGCCAGAAGCCCCAGCCATTCTGTCAATGTATTGTATGGTAAGTCCTCTATGTGATGTTTCTTCTAGTCTTTTACTTGAGTTTCTCAGACACTTTGTAACATAAAAAAATACTCTTCTTCTTCTTCTTTGAATCACTAGAATGGTTCTTGATGAAGCTCTGGTGTAGAACCAGATTTTTTTCCCAAAATTTGGTAGCATTTGAGTACTGGTGAAAGGAATTGGTAGTGACGTGGTATTTGAAGATAGCTGGAAGACTCTTGAAAGATGAACAGCTAACTATCCAAACAAACTACTGCGGCCCTAAAGGGGACCTAGGGCTCCTTTGTGTGCTAGGGATATGAAATACTCATTAGAAAAAAACCCAAACAAATTTTCTTAATTCTTTTTTTTTTTAAATGTAACTTCTGAGGAGTAATTGAAATATATGTAGTAGTAACTTTTTTTGCTTTAATAATGACGAATACGTATGTATGTAGAACATTCAAAAATATACTTTAAAAAAATAAAATGAGAAATAGGACACTACTGTAGAGAGAGGTTAGCTACCCATAAAAGAAAAAGTAATTTTCCCTGACAGTTTCTGTATGAAATAGAGGGAGAAAAATAAACCAGAAAGCATTAACAGTATTGTCTTGTAAACCAAAGGAAATGTTAACCATATAGGTCTGAAACAGTTGGTCTCGGGCTCTAATACAAAAACCCCCATATTTCTAGATGAAAAGCTTGAAAATGTATGTGATATCCCTATAGTTGTATTCACAGTAATGTAGTACATGCAGTGAAGTGTTGTATGCTAACAATAAATTTGGCCCACAATATATTTTTGAAATTATAGCTATTGGAATTATAGTTGCCATAACATTGTAAAGTTTAATTACAGAATAAATGCACTGGAAATACCTAATCATTTCACTCGGAATACCGTTCATTGTTGAAAGTGGTTTAAATCACTGAAATTAAACAGCAAATGCAGCAATAAAGTAAATCAGTAATAACATCTTTTTAGACATTATTCCATCCTTTTCTCTATTTTCATTCTAAGAGAAAAAAATTTCCTGTAATTTTTCTTATATTTTTCTCAAGGGTCTAGTTTTTCCATCCCAAGCCTTCCAAAAGGATTGAAGGAAGGATTAAGGAGGATGTCTTTCTGAAACTCTTCAAACTCTTTTCCATGACCATAAATTATGAAAGAAAATTTGTTAAGAAGTCCAATGACATAGACTGTTTTCACAGCAAGAATCGTATCTCTTTCAGGCCAGTCTTAGACTGAAAGAAAATAAGAGGGAAAGGGAAAAGAAAGGAAGGCTAACACTGGCTCCAGATCATCTATGAACTGCACTTGTAACAGTTGCCCCTTTATCAGGAGACCAGAAATGAGGCAAATGTAAACTTCAGATCTGGATCTGGATCTTCCCTGTTTCTTTTGTATTCATGTCAATGTTTTCTTGTAGTTTCATTGCACAGAGAGGAATCTGCTGAAAAATGTAGATTCCAAGTGGAAAATTTCCAAACTCCATGGTGATGTCCTTCTGCGTTTGGCTTCCAGCTGCAAACCTGAATCCACATTTGACCTTTAAAAGAATTTGGGATAGTCTTTAATTTTTGTTCTGCCTTTGGAGGGTGTGCCACTCCCCATTACGATCACAGCTGCAAATAGAGCACTTCATCTGATCCGTTTGTATACAGCAAGATGCATCTTTCATGCAACCATGATGGACATACTTAGTAATAACAAGTGGAAGGCTGGCTTCTTTTTCAATATGCTCAAGTAATCCCCAATCTTAATACAATTTAAAGATTTTTTCTATCTTAATAATTATATTAATCCCAAGACAATTACCAAAGTCAAAAAAACCTTTAATAAACAACTTTCACAGAAATTATAGCTTCCAAATATGGTAGAGATATGTTAAAGATCTTAGAAAAAAGAAACAAGTATTTGGCCTCCATTAATCTTTTGAAGTTTCTCATCATCATTATTATTATTATTAACTCAGTGAAGTCAGTATACTAAAGGAGATATAAATGTTAATAATTGTTTCCCATCAAGTGTTTTGTTTTAAAACTGTATATCACCAGTGATGGATAAAGCTCTAGAGGTTTCGACATGAGGTTGTTCATATAAACAATTTGCAGTTCATATCTCTATCTGTTTTTTTCTGAGATTGGAACCAGACTAAAGAGGAAACTTATCTCCCTGGGGAGATTGAGAAGTGTCTGTGCTTTCAGAATAGAACAGCTTGGTTTAAAAATGACACTGATATCTGAAAGAACCCTAGGACTTGTTTCTGCAGAATTAAAAGCAGCATTCATTTTTCCTGTTTTCATATTAGAGCAGTTCTGTGCCAAACCTGCCTTAATCACTTAAACTGAGCAATGTTTTAATGGCATATGAGAATCATGATGAAACATAAGTTCCTTCCACTTTATTCATCCCCTCTCAGTTCTCCAAGTTCTTCTCTTCATCCGGTTCCCTTGAAAACAATCCCTGTCTTCAGCAGCTTCTTCTTAATTCTAGCACTACACGTCTTGCCATCCTGGGTGTCTACTGCCCTTTCATTTTTGCCTCTCATTCGATTCCCTGACATATGATGCTGAGCCCTACCCAAAACTCGAGGGAGTTGCACTTAATTTTGCACAAAGTGGTGAATTTTAAATCCAGATCCAAATCTGCAGTTTCCTGTGTCTTTGGACTCTTTTGATACAGCTTTCCAGCTTTGGCACTCCCATGCTTATTTCAAATAAACATTTCCCCAGTGTGTGGGAGTGCTGTTGTTTGGGTCAGAGAACTGGAATTCTGGAGTCAGGAACTCATATTCTCCTAAATTACTCCCTTCATAGTCTTTATGACTAGCTGTTAACTTGTTTATTTAAATGGCACTGACATAGGGTGTTTCTCTTTTTTTTATGCCAACTTGACACATAGTTGACATAATTTTTGAAAGCTCTGTTTATCTAATTTAGAAACCAATATCACTTTGAAGCTATGAAAATTGGCACAGAGTGTCTTAGTTTGGCTTCTACAAAACTGAAGCATATTAAGTCAATGGCAACTTTTGAAAATGAGGCGTTAATACATTCAAATTATCCATCATCTACCCAAATAAAAGGCATATTTACTAACCTCACAAAATAGGGTTTGGTTGCTTTTATTTGCAGACCCAGCTGCCTTCCCAACCTTCTTATCTTCCTGACATCCAGATGCTCTATTCTTCCAGTCACCAGGAGGGTTGTCAAAGGTCACAGCCTGCGGATCACTGAATTAGATTAGCTTTGCAAATTACTATAGCCCTAAACCCTCTTGTCCTAGATAACAACAAAATGCTACTAACTTGGTTAATGATTTTTTTACCAGATTATTACTATCTCCAAAAGTGCAGTTATCACTCCTTTTAGTGCACTTACCATGTCCTTCAAATTTTGCAAAGCACTGCATGCCCTTTTACAGTAGCTCAGGAGCAAGCCTCTATTAAAAACAGCACGTTTTCCACTTTTACTTGTTTTACTTAAGCAAAGAACTTTGTCACAATGATTTTCCTTGCTTATAGGATGAACTATTGATTCATATCATCACTGTAAAGAAAAATTAACATTCTCTCAGAGAGTGCTGGAATTTGGCTCTCAAAATGTACTGGAAAAGCAGAGATAAAATTTATATTCAAGGCAATTTCTGTGCTACACATTAAGCCAAGCATCTGAGTTTTCCTTTCAGAAGCTCATCAAGATGTTATTGCCAAATCTCACTGTTAAACCAAGAGACATGATTTGGGGGTTTTAATTTTGTTTCTCTTATGGGTTTACATTTTTTTCAGATCTAATTTACATTTTATTCTACATCTGCCTTCTTAAGAGATCAAAGTGTTCATACACTGTACAAATGTAGGTTTCCACACCCATTCTTATTTTTTCAGTTTTAGGAGGCACATTATAACATGTGAAATCAGTTTTCCGCAGAGCCAATAGTAACAGAAGCACATATTTCTGCAGATTAATAATTCTCTTTACTGTAGATCTCATAAATTCTTCTCCTCCCTTTTCCTTCTTCTCTCATGATTTTAAAGTCCACCCAGTGATTTCAGTCATCAAGTCACATTTATACAATTATCTGCTTCAAAGACATTTTAAAGGAGAAAATTAAAAAAAAAGATGAATTGGCAACATGAACAATTTTGTCTTTACTTTAATAATTACCATAACCATTTAAAAAAAAAAAGGGAAAAAAAAACCACACAAAAAAACAACAAAAAAACCCCTAAACCAAAACTAAAAACACTTTCTGACTTAATGTGGAAAACATCTTTTCTAACTTGGTAGTATACACCATCACTATTATCACCACCACAAAAAACAAGAGTAGGAACCAGAACTGGTGCATGAACCTAGATCATCAGCTCCACAAAAGAGGATTCTTTTGGGAACACAGTTGGTTTGGGTTTCCTGTCCCTAACTTTAACATTCTGAAAGTTATGTGTTTGCTCTGAATTAGTCATGTAGGCTTTCTCAGCAAGCAATCTTGCATTTTGAATAGATGAGTATAGGTCACCCTCTGGAACTGGCTATGTCTCTCCATAGATTTCAGAGGGACCTACATGACTGACTTAGAATAGATGTTAAATTTTTGATAGGTAAATATAGGTATGTTTTCATAATGATGGAGCTGTATTATTACCGTGTATGTAATGCACAATGTATTTGTGCATGAGTTTTGCTGTACACATACATAGATACACATATAAATGCATATAAATATATTTTTATATGTTATAAACAAATTCCACACTCTAGGTATATCAAAGTTGGGCTAATGAAATATAAACAGTTTAGGTTGCTTTCCTGCAACCAAAATTTAAATTGATCTAAATTGCTCTGTCCCTTAGGCTGAAAACAAACGTGTTTGCTCCTTGCAATTCAACCCAATCTGGTGCAGTCAAAATGATTTACTATTAAAGGTCACAATGCCCATGTAACAATACAAACATGCCCAGGTAGCAGTTTAACTATAGCACAACAAATCCAAAGCACTGCTGTGGCCAGGGAGAAGCAGCAAGCCAGCCCAGGAAGCAGGAATCACAAATGTTCAAGCCACTGATGGTATCTGAAACCTTACATACAGTTACTGGAGAAGTTCACAGCTTTTATCAGCATTTTGCTTTATAAACAAAAACCCCTGAGTCAAAACAATGAAGCGCTTCTCCCCCTAGTCTTTTAAAGGAATGTAAGCAGAGAAGCCCAGAAACTATATCAAGAATGTGCAAATATTTCCAAACCTTTCCTGAATTCTTTTAAAGTTACTGATTCAAAAAATGGTGGTGAAAATGTTCAGTTAAATGTATTAGTAATTTAGAGTACCATGAAACGATACCTTTATTATGATGTATTATATCCTATATACAGCAGCTGTGGAGCTGGCAACCATGATCTGATATATACACATGATACCATATGGTATGATGGCTGACCTATCCGGGTGAGATATGGATTATGCAAAAATTCAGAGCTGGTACAGCTAATACTTGGAGCGTAGGCAGAGCTGATAGGACAGTGTGGCATTTGTTTTCCTGGCACCTGAACACAGATGGTAGCTCTAATTACAGGCTACTGGCCTCAGGAATTCCTCCTTCATGCTGTTTTTATTTTGGTCTGTTTTCAAAGGATATATTTCTTCTTTGGTACCATAAGGACAACAAAATAACAGTCTGAGGCTGCTGTTATTACGATTTCTAAACAGCAAGCATAATAACATATATGGGTGAAAAGGCTATTTCATTTTATTTTTCAAACACTTAGAAATGCAGATAGTGACCTTGCTTGGCTTGTGTTAGTGGAACAACATTTTCATTGCAGTAAGAAGTGTAATTGCATAGAGGTTGAATCTCCTCTTATGAATGAAACATATTAATAGGTAGAGTTGTATATGTATTATATAACCATGTTCTTGTTTTATTTTCATTTTTATGGATTTCTAGTAGTACTTGGTAGCAGTAAATTACTGTGCAGTTACCTAAATACCTTTCTGGTCCTGCTTTTTCAGACTTCCTGCAGGCTCACCAGTGAAAAGCACAGTGAGCAAGGTGGACATTACCTTTCCATGGTAGTGCCCATCAGTGCTCAGCTGGACCAAAAATAGTCAATAAGCTGTGCATGATTTCCAAGTCCTTAATTTCAGCAGTTTTTTCTTTGATTTATTACCCTTTGCCTATTTTCAGATAAAAAATACAGTAGGAAAAAAATGGCTGTGCTTTTTGCTCGTTTGTACTTCAACACTGCATATTGATGACTAAGGATGAATGTTATAAAAAAATCAGCACGGTCATAATAATTATCTAGAAAAATAAACAGCAGTGGCCCTCTTACAGAGCTGGTCCTCCATATTAGCTAATAAAACACTGTCAGAAAATGTTATGTTCCAGTGACAGAGTCTTTTCTGAATCACAGAATATTCTGACTTGGAAGGGACCCACAAAGATCAACAAATCCTGCTCCAAAGTGAATGGCCTGTACGGGGATCAAACCCACAACCTCAGTGTTTTTAGCACCATGCTCTAACCAACTGAGCTAATATAAGTACATCAGTACTGCTATATACTACTTAGAATTTCTCTAAAGGTGGGGAGCTGGAATGGGAGAGAAATCCTGGCAGAAGCACAAGGATTTCTTAGATGGAGTCCACCCACTGAGCTGTTTAAGCAGCTGTAAGCAGAAAAATGATGCAAGTGGGATCTGAAAATGATCATCAGAATGAGTGAAACAACATGAGCACTCAGTTAATTTCCACCTTTACACTGCATTTAAAGAAAAGAAGTAATGCTGTACTATTTTCAGACAGAAAGTCTGTTGAGAAATCCTTAGTATTCCTCATCAATTTATTTTGGAAGACATTTTTGGTATTAGGAACACTGATAAAGTGATTAGAAAAGTCATTTTCTTTTGTCAGCAGAGTAGACTACTTGCTACTGTAGACATCCATATCATCACACTTTATAAACACAGTTATCAAAAATTAGCTTCAAACTGTGGTTATAGGTCCCAGTAACTTCCTAGAAGTCCAGCTGAGACTCTCTCTCCTTTCATTGCCAGACACTTTTTTGTCCAAAATGAATGTATACACACTGTTTTATATCCTTGTGTCGTGTTGCCCTTGAGGAGAAAGGTCCTTTTCCTCCTGGAGACATGCTTAGAGAAATAAATGGTGTCTTCTCTAAAACTTTCTTTTGCAACATAAAACTAGCAATGTGCTTTTTAATTCTGTCATGTGATGGGCTCTCCATTCTCTGGTTATTGTCTTAGTCTTTGCTTTCACCTATTCCTGTCTGAGTTCACCTATTCCTGTCTGAGTTCACCTTTCAGTGGTGGATGTAATTGAGACTGCTCTAATAGTGCCCAGTGTAATCAATAGCTCTTTAAACCACAAAACATAATGTAAATCTGTGTTAATACTTAAAAAAAAAAAAAAAAAGACCCAGGAGAAGCACAAGGATATGTAATATTCCTATTTGGTTGAAATTCACATTCATGGGGCACTAAAGATTTAAACCTTATTCGGTGGAAAAGTAACTTGCTCATTTTTCAGCCAAAGGACATGACTGATCTCAGCATGCAGCTAAGCATATCAGTTTCTTAATGATATTAAAGAGAAGAAAATTGGATAGGGGTGGGACTTGTAGGAGTGATTGTTCCAGGATGAGAAATTGCATATTAGCTTTAATAACACTGTGATAAATCTGCAATAAAAGCACAAATTATTATTTGTATTTTTTGCACTCCCAAGTCCCTGAAGCCTTCAGACAAAGAAAGAAATCTGTGTCCCTGCCCATTCTGTCCTCCATAGACATGGGAGGAGTCCAGGATCCCTGCCAGTCCTGTCCTCCTCTTCCTTTCTGGTTTTTAAAACACTTCATGTACATAAATTTTTGCTTAACCTTTTATAATGTGCTACATGTTTTTTTTTAATGTAAAAAGTACCTACCCTGGAGTTGGAAGAGAAAGCTGCAAGACGGTTCAATATTTATCCCCATTCAAATGTGACTGTCTGTTCTGGAGGATGCCAGGTGCTTCAAACACTGCCAAACATATGGCAAGGCTGCGGCGCAGCCGCCTTTGACGGGGAGCTGAGCTAATAGCCCCACATGCATTTCATTTAAAAATATAGACAACTATTCAATCAAAATGAGTTTTGTCATCTTGGTCAGAACTGCATTCAATCTGTGTTGAGAGACTTGAAAGGACACTCCGCTGCTCATATTTTAT